ATTAAAAGCCCTTGCTGGCCTTGGCTGTGAGATTTGTGCCGCGGCGGAGGGGGGAAGCGCGTCTGTGAGAGGCCGCGAGGAGCCCGGCCTCAGGCAGCGGGGACGACAGCCAAAGGACGGGGAATCGGAGCAGGGCTTCGCACAGGAGTTAGCGGAAATCCTGCAGGGTAACAGCCGCGAGCAGAGGGCAGCGGAGGAGCGGGGGTCCGGGCTGACCACCCCCCAGGCTCTGCCTCCCGGTACTTACTGATGGGCACGGCCCCGGGACGCAGGGTGTGATCCTAACATGGCGCAGACGGTGACCAGCTCCCATCTCCCGGCTGACGGTTCCCACTCCCGAGAGGAAGGATGAACGACGAGGTGTTGGCTGGAAGCTCGCTGGCAGTTCACAAAAGGGGAAAGAAAACAACTTTAGAAGGGATTGGAAGAGGGGTACAGAACAAAGCAGGAATTGTAAGTGCCATATTTGCCCTAAAAAAAATCCAAATGTGCAGTTCTGATCCCTCCACCCCACAACAGACTGAGCAGAGTTAAAGTGGAATAAAGAAAATCAGCACCAGGGACGTGAACTAGCTTCAGCGGGAGGAAATACTGAAGGAGACATCTTCAGAGGGGGTTTTATTCTATAAAAAGGTAGGTAGTAGAACTGTAGGTAGCATAAAGGAGGTGAGCATGACTAACGGGGGACATCAAATAGAAGAGATCAAATCAGGTTCTTAATCACAGGGAAACAGGAGCAAATTGCCACGGGATGTTTTGGGTACCAAAATGTTACTCGGCTGTGGGGGAGAAAAAAAATGATTAGCTGTATTTGCAAAGAAAAGCCCATCCGGGGCTCTTCAGGGTGACACCTCTGTCACTGCCGGTCCTCAGGCCGTGCACCAGAGGAAGCTCCGCTCACAGCCGGGATGCAGCAGCACACATCTGCCCTCTGCAACTCTCCCCAGGGTTCTGCCGTCAGCTATGGCTGGATGCAGACCACAGGGACTTTTACATTTTCCTAGCCTAGCATAACCATCCCTACCGTTTCAGAACGAGGACCTGCTAGGAGCCAAAAGGGGAAGAAGAGCACGGAGCTAAGAGAGGAAGAGTGTGGGCATCTCTCTCTGCTTGCACCCTACCCCTGGGTCGCCAGCAGCGACAGAAGGGGCAAACGTCACTCCTCCGTCTTGGCTGCCCTCGGAGCAAGACAGCAGCGAGAAGATTGAGCATCCACCTGTTTCCTGGCCTTAAATACATTATCTTAGAGTTGTCATAACATTTCTTCGCAAGAAGGTACAAAACCAAACCCCTTCTTTAACTGACATCATCCTTACTGTTTCGGTTTACAGCACAGCCCCAAACCACCAAGGCAGGTGACAGTGCCAGCTTCAGAAAGGGCACAAAATTAAATAAACTGACAGGACACTGATCCTGTTTGTAAACTGAAAGCAAAATCACTGCTCTTCTGCATAGCTGAGGTGAGGAAAAAGATGTTAGACTGACTAGCTTGACTATTTTGGGTGGGGGTGCTAACGGAGGTCCCCACTTCAAATCAAAGCACACAGGTTAAACAGGAAACAGGACAAGGAAAAATGGTGATAAGCAGAGATTAGAAGATATTCTTTTTGCCTCTTTTTCAGCAGACTGGCTGATTATTCCTCTCAGTCTCTGCCTGTCTTTGGCAGATTTAGCACATTTATCATTACTCTGAGCCAGCAGCAACAGCGGGAAGGAGCAGAAATTTTGTCAGCATTGTCATCAAAGCTAAAATCCTGCAGCACAGAGGGATGCTGCTTTGCCCAAGGAATTAATGGCCTGCAATTCCAGTGAACTCATGCCGCCATCTTCCCAAGACGCTTTGTATTTTTATTTCCTCGGTAATAATTTATTCTATAGAATATATAGAATAATATAATACATAATATAGAATTATGTAATGGTTGCTCAGTGTCAACAGCCAAAACTCAAGCATACTGAATGCAAACCTGAAAAAAATCAAGAAGAGGGTCCACTTCACAAAAAACATTTTCTCAGCATTGCTGAGATTGTCTTTTGCGTTACTTCAATGAGGTGATTTAAGGCTCCTCCTCTCTCCCTGAGCAGCAGGAGTGCAAGAGGCCTACGGCTGCCTGACGGTGGGATCGGCGAGATTTCTGTTACATCACCTGTAACTCAGGTCAGAGCCAGAAGCACGTCGTCCGGAACTGAGACACGGAGACTGAGCCCCTGAAACCCAAAAGCCCTGGAAGCGAAGCCCAGAAACACAGGTCATTTTAAGCGTTTCCTTCACTCCTTCGAAGCCGAGCCCATAGCTGCAAAACAGATGACTTTTTAAAGACCGAATGATGTTTTTCATCAGCATCCAGAGTGCGGCACGCTCCCAGCAAAGCCAAGGCCTGCACCTTTCACCGCCTCAGTGCTCGTGCCAAGTCCTGGCAGGCTCAGCCCTACAGCAGGCACAGCACAAAGAAAACGGCATCGTAGCTCCCTGGCAGCGAGCGCGCTCAACTCGCCGAGCAAGCCTGGTGTTGAGAAGAGAGGCGATGGTCCCCTTAGCTCTCCTGGTGGATCGGCCTCTGAACTGTTGGTGCCTGAGAGGTGATGCCAGGCATGCCCTGGGCTGCATCCCCAGCAGCGTGGGCACAGGGTGAGGGAGGGGATTCTGCCCCTCTGCCCCGCTCTGCTGAGACCCCCCTGGGAGTCCTGCGTCCAGCTCTGGAGCCCTCAGCACAGGACAGAGCTGGAGCTGTGGGAGCGGGACCAGAGGAGGCCCCAGCAATGATGCGAGGCTGGAACCCCTCTGCTGGGGCTGGGAGAGCGGGGGCTGCTCAGCGTGGGGAGGAGAAGGCTGCGGGGAGACCTGAGAGCAGCTGCCAGTGCCTGGAGGGGCTGCAAGAGAGCTGGAGAGGGGCTTGTGACAAGGGCAGGGGGTGAGAGGACAAGGGGTGATGGCTTTGAGCTGTAAGAAGGGAGATTTAGATTAGACATGAGAGAAATTCTCCATCATGAGGGTGCTGAGGCCCTGGCCCAGGTTGCCCAGAGAAGCTGTGGCTGCCCCATTGCTGGCAGGGTTCAAGGTCAGGTTGGACGGGGCTTTGAGCACCCTGGTCTGGTGGAAGCAGTCCCTGCCCATGGCAGGGGGCTGGACTGGACGGCCCTTGAAGGTCCCTTCCAACCCAAACCGCTCTGTGACCCTACGATAATGCAGGGGCTCCCCAAAACAACGTGCTCTGGGGAACACTGGAAGTTTCCTCTCACTTGCAACAGATCAATAATAACAAAATGTTTTTTCTGTTGTAGCTCAGTCAGAAGCTGTTGGACTGCACAGGATTTACCGGTACCGTTGTCAGCTGACAGCAGTGCCCGGCCTTTTCAGCCAGCCTCGCTGCTGCCTCCTCTCCATCTCTTTTCATCTCCCCCTCCAGCCTTCACTCAACACCCGCCTCGTCCGCCTTCCAGCCCCGTGCTGACCTGCAGCAGTCACACCTTCTTC